ACACCGGTTTTTACACTCATTTCAGCAGTCTTCCTCATGAGTAGTCTTATAAAGTTGGAAGGTGTTAACCTCTAAATTCAGCTTAATTTCTTTTTTAAAACAGTATTTCTTCTTATTTTCTTCTTGGTTAAATTATCCTGTAAAAAGCATAGTTATGAGGAGTGGAAAAAGACATGAAGCTGAATGGAATAGTTTAGTTATCATTTTTAACTAGAATAATTTTAAACTTACTTTCAGTAAGAGCAAATGCCAGCCAATTTAAAGTAGGCCTGTTGCCACAAAAAAATTTTGGACTGGCTGCTACGGGAAATTTAACAATTGGCTTGCTCCTACTTTAGTATTTGCAATGGAACTGAAAGTAAGTTATGGGCCTGCATTGGTCTGATCCAGCAGGGCTACTCTTACGTTCTTAGAGGGACAAATCCACTCACCAATTCACCATGGCTACCAGGCTCAACAGCCCACATCTTTTCCCATGTTAGATGATGTATGGGGAATGCTAAAAAAAACAATTAGGTCACATTCCTGCCCCCCCCCTCCGTATCTTATCCTGAGCTCACCTGGCCTCTCCCTTGTGGCTTTTGACTACTCTAAGAAACAGGAACTTCTCTTACCTGCTTTGGATAAGCTAAAACTGCGCAGGCGTCTCTGGCATGGTTTCTTGTGTTCTCCATACCTCAGGACATGTGAGACCAACCTGATCTCGCCCTTGCCAGGGCAGGCGTGGCTAAACTGTGGCTCGGGAGCCGCGTGTGGCTCTTTCAGACATATTGTGCGGCTCCCGGCAGGGCGGCTTGGGAAGCCAAATATCATTAGCAAACAAATATCATTGGACAAACAAATATCCTTATCAATATCTGCTTTTACCCCTTTTGTTATTATTTTTGGCAGTCTCATTCAATGTTACTAAAAAGCAAATCTGCACATTTCCCAATAAGAACATGTAATATTTGTTCATGCCTCGCGGCTCTCGAACATCTGATGTTTATTCTTTGTGGCTCTTGCGTGAAGCAAGTTTGGCCACCCCTGTGCCAGGGTATTGGGGAAGGGTTTCTGGCCAGCCGAAATCTTGATGGACCGTTGAGATTTATGCAGTGAGCTATCGAGCTGGGGGGTGTGTGAATGCCATGGGGTGAGTTAGAAAAGTAGGGCCCAGAACACCGTCATTGGAGCAACCCAAACACCAGAAATGATCAACAGCAGAAGATTAGATTATCAGGACACTGAGCTACAAAGTCCCCAGAAGGGCATCTAAACCAAATGCAGGGGTGTCGCCAGAAAATTTTGGTTGGTGGGGCGTGGGGAAATCCGGAGGGGGGGGGTGCGCCCCAGCAGTGCCTGCTGCTCCTCTTGCAGCAGCAGAAGCAGCAGCTCTGGATCTTCTGTGACCTCTCGTCCTCCTGTCCTTTTGATTGGAGAGACTCGATTCTGGGTAGCTTTTCTGTGTATACCGGGGCGGGGGGGGGGAAATCTCCAGTTTGATGTAGTGGTTAGGAGCACGGACTCTAATCTGGGAGAACCGGGGTTGATTCCCCACTCCTCCACATGCAGCTGCTGGTGTGACTTTGGGTCAGTCACAAGTTTTTTCAGAGCTGTTCTCTCAGGAGCAGTTCTTGAAAAAGCTCTCTCAGCCCCACCTACCGCACAGGGTGTCTGTTGTGGGGAGGGGAAGGGAAAGGGATTGTAAGCTGCTCTGAGACTCCTTTGGGTAGTGAAGGGTGGGGTATAAATCCAATCTCTTCTCTTCTCTTCTTTTCTCTTCTCTTCTCTATTTTGCATTTTGCATTTTGCAATTTCATTTTATTTTATTGCAATGTTATTTTATTTCTTTTTCGGCCTGGAAAAAAGAAAATGAGACTGAAGCTTCCCTTACTGTGCCTGGGGTCATTTTGGAAACACCCACATGCACCTTACATTTTAAAAATATTTTCTGCTTAATTTTTTCGTCTGTGGGGGGCAGCACTCACCTCTGGGGGGCATTGCCCCCAGATTCCCCCCCCCTGCGTTGGTGACAGGCCTAACTAAACCTCCCAGAACTCCATGTTCTGGGGTCTGTTCTGGGAAGTAAATGGTCCCCCCAAAATAAATGCACTGGAAAATTCTGTTCCACGACATCCCACAACACCTGCTGTATGTGGCCAGATGAGAATAATGCAGTAAAGCACCAATAAAATCCCCATTGCAGTATCTATTCCAGATTTAGCTGAAACACAGCAAAAATAATCCCTAGTTATTCCAGTGCATTCCTACCGCATGTATGGTGGTGGAGTCAGGATTGAATGGTTTCATGACGGGCTTCCTTTAGGTGGCGGCATCTACTTCAAATGCAAAACACAGAATGAACTTCCAGCAAGCATCTCTCATCCCATCCCAGCCCATCAGGGCTTTCTTCGTGGAAAAAGCCCAGCAGGAACTCATTAGCATAATAGGCCACACCCAACAGCAGGAACTCATTAGCATATTAGGCCATGCCCCTGATGGCACAGCTCATTCGCATATTAGGTCACACCCCCGTGTTACCTAATGTGTGGTCACCCAGCCACACCCACTTTTTGCTTCTTATTCTCTTCACCTTGTTTGTTGACAAAACCCAGGGCTTTTTTTTGGAGCAGGAACTCCTTTGCATGTTAGGCCACACACCCCTACTTGTAGCCAATCCCAATGAGTTTCTACTGTTGGGTGTGGCCTATTACGCTAATGAGCTCCTGCTGGGCGTGGCCAACTCGGGAG